TTCGAGGAGTTTCCAGGTGACATCAGATCTGTCCCTTTGCTGCACGGGAATGAACATCCTGTGTGTGTCACGTATGGTCGTCCATCGTGATCCCCTTTTTGTGTTTGTGCACCTTGGGTATGGCCGCATGGTTTGAACTGTTTCTAATTGAATGCTTATGTTTTCTTATGTTTTCTTGTTGCATTTCTAACAGACGGTTGCACTGAAAGATGGAACTTGGTGATAAAACATGATCTGGACCGTACAAATGTTATATTGTTGATCACATGGCTCGGTTAGATCGGGGAGTGTTTTTAATGCAGAGTCAGCAGTTTCAGCCCTTACGTGCAGCAGAATCACTGGATCTGTGGAGATATCACTGCTGCAGTATTTTTGATCCCCTTTGGTTTCCCTGCCTTGTTCCCACTGGACCACAGCATTGTTCCTATCTTAGTGAATGTAGGACATCTCCGTGGGTCGTGTACTGCTTATTCACGTGGTGTTCTTTCATATGCCACAATTACTGATCCTGTTATGCTTTCCCTTTAAAAATAAGACAGATTTTGTCTTTTAAGAAACATCCTGACCCTGTTCACTGCTGCAGCTGCTGCTTCTGGATATGTCAGGCGCACTTTGCAGGACATTCACTTTAAGCTCTTAGAGAACTTAAAATGTATCAGCAGTGACAGGGTGGGAGTAATTGGTTTGATTCATAAGCCCATGTTGAGATCTCATTATAACAGAGCTTGAACTTCAGAGGACAGACAGGGAAACATATGATAAGGGCTGCCTGCTCATTTTCCTGCTCCTCTGAAGGTCACTGGAGATAAATATGTTGGATATAACACAGTGTCTATTTCTGATTAATGACTTGCTTGTCTGCTCTTGGCATGTTGTGCGTTTTGTTTAGATCTGCTTCCAAAGTGCCGGCGAATGAGAAGAAGGAACGACCAGTAAGCACCATGAGTGAGGCCTCTAACTACACGGGCGGCTCGGAGCAAGCTGCAAACCCCAGTAGCCCCGGAGGAAGGGTGAGTGACAGGGGGGCTTACGATTCATGCCTGTTATGTTAGAAAATAATGGGAAAAACAAGTGGATCACATTTTAATGGCTTAAAACATCTAGAGGTTTCTTTTCCGTGTGTGTGTTGAGCTTAATTTGATTTAACTTGCAGCCCTCAAGACCTTCTAAAAAAATTCACAACTTCGGGAAACGATCCAACTCCATCAGGAGGAATCCCGGTGCCCCGGTTATCAAGAGAAACTGGCTGTATAAACAGGTGAGTAGGAGTGCACGGCTCCAGGTAATGTTTACTCCAGAAAATGCAATCAGAAATTTAAAGGACGGATCATACAATTTGTTTTCTTCGACGCATGTGTGTATCAATATTTTTAAACCACTGTGGTTATAACTGAAATGTATCAACGTGCGGATGGATTTTTGCAGAAACCTTTTTGGTTGTACCCTGACCTTTTGTCTTACACCACCCTGTTAACAATTTGTGTGAAAGTGCAAAATATCAATAAAGTTGATAAACATGGAAAAAATACGTTAAACAGCATGTTAGCATTATTAGTCCGAGCATGCTCACGTCAGGAGCTCCCCTGATTTCTGCTGGATAGTATTATCTTTGGAGTCGGAGGCAAGGAAAAGCTTGGCTATACAAAGGTGATAATATAAAACAGTGTTGGGTCTGTTTCCATTTTTAACTGCAAGTGGTTATGCAGCAGCAGCAGTAGTCTTAAGATGAGCACAATCTGAGCATTTCTTTGTGCATCTCTGTTTTTGCTCATCCAGCAGGGCCACTGTATGAATGCAAACCTCCCTGGTTACTTACAGAAGAGTAAAAAGGGGCCAGACTGGACACCCTTGTGCATCCTAACTGGGAGTTTCATTTAGCGGTGATTGCAGGCACCCTGTGCAGTTTTGTGAGCACACGATGGGCTCCTTTGGTGCAGCTGCCAGCTGCTTTTTTCTTTGGAAACATCAATCAGGGTGACGTAGATCAAGCAAAAGACTCACAAATCTGCTAGCCTGAATAAAAGCTGGATTTGCACTTTTATTTCCCTGCCTCATTGAAAACTGGAAGCCATTGAAGTCCTTGGCTGAGGGGAAGCTGCAGTCCTTCGGTTGGTCCGCTGCTAGAACAAAGTGCCGCAGTGATTGATGTGATAGCGAAAGCCTCCAGAGAGCAAGATTCGACAGAACTTTTTGATAAAGTTTATTTATTCTTCTGCTACTGACATTCAAGAAAGGGGGGGTTAAGACCTGGATTTAATTGAGGAAAGGTGGTGGACACAAGATCTTTAAAACTTGTTACATTTCACATCTACCTCTTTTATGAACATACGGCGCAGCATCTGGTATTTTGAATCTCTCTTGATACTAATGTTTTAACCATTCTGGTTTGTGGAAGTGAATTTCCATTTCAAGTAAACTGCAGCCCACATGCCGTTTGACCATAATGACAGAGTTGTTAAGATCCCCCCTCCTGCTTTTGTCTCCTGGTGGAGGTTACGATTAAGGACTTTGCTCAAGTTTTCCATTAAAGTAAACCAGGGAGTTAATACCCTTTACTTCACCCTTCATCTTTTTCAGGCAGCAGTGTTAAAGGCTTTGAGCTGATACTGAAGAACAACTTAAGCAGAGGAAGTGTGTGTGTGTGTGTGTGTGTGTGTGTGTGTGTGTGTGTGTGTGTGTGTGTGTTGCATTGTCTTTGTTTCATGCCACAAATTAAGTTTTCCCATCTCAGGCCAAAAATAGCTAAATTTGAGAGTCCGAAATTTTGCAGTGCTGATCGGATGACTTCCATAACCCGTCTTCATTTAAGCAAGGGGTTATTTCATAATTTCCAAAGTTCAGAGAGGCATTTTGGATCACAAATGCAAAATGGTGACCTGTCTCAGCTGGAAACCTAGAAAGTCGTACACAATTATGTAATACAACAAAAAAGTGATTGGCTGTTAATCCTTAGAGATGATGTAGCAAACAATTGATCACATGGAAAGGATTGTATCATAGGACTACAGCATGTGCTGAATAGGATAAAAAAAGACAAAGATATCAGAAAAAAATCAAAGCCCCAAACATTTGTGGAGTTAATGTCCTCTATTGCTCTGGTGTCTTTTCAGGACAGTACAGGGATGAAGCTATGGAAGAAGAGGTGGTTTGTCCTTTCTGACCTCTGCCTCTTCTACTACAGAGGTGAGTTCAGTCCTGTCATCTAGCGGCACCGGTTTTCGATTAATAGTTCAAGTGCTTTTGTGATCTTCAACAACAAGCGATGCCTTTTCTCATCATTGTTATGTCTGAGTCCCTGTGATAAAGAACATGTCAGGACCAACTGAGGAGATTTATCAGGTGAAAAAGCTTGCAACATCACCTTTTTTTCCATCAAGCAAAGCCAGGTCCTTACGCAAGACCTGGATGCAGAGTTAAACGTTAAAGCATACTAATAGGATTCCACACTAATGTTAAGTCATGATGAAACAAGATGAAACAAGTTTATTGAATGATTCCTTTTTATGCAAGTCATGTCATCATTCATGCTTTTACATGATAGGAGTCTGAAAGTAGTGTTAGTAGTAGTTACACTCACTTACTGTAGTTTGCATTTTTGTAAAATGTGTGGACATTTCGATGCGATTTATCGGTTTTATATAATCTATTATTGATTAAAATGTGATTTTAATGGCTGTTCTCTCATGTTGGACCAATCTTCACATCTAATTTTGACACATCTCTGTTTGGAGAATGTTTAAAGTGTAGACCAAGTGTAAACTAGGTGTGCTGTTTGAAACTATGAGAAAATACAAGCCTTACCTTTGTACAAGGCTGCACTTCCCAGTGCCGCCGCTTTATGCAGATGTAGTCGTCATTTCTGCTGATCAGGATGACATCCAGTCTGTGTTATTTCTGGTGTCTGCCATTCCCGTCGCCTTCTTTCCACCCACTGACTGACAAAAGCCGCGGACAGCGGCGGACCCAAAGGCTTTATCCAGATGGATATGTTGAGAAACTGTATCCATCAGCAGAGAGTGGGCAGAGAGGTCGTGAACTCTGCTGCTTCATCTGAACACATCCGTTATCTGCTGTTGTAGTTATCACTCTATTTCTGCGCATCAGGATATCCCATGATGAGACTGCTCTGCTGAAGCCTCTGCCTGTTGTGTTTTTTGAAAGAGGCAGTGGCAAAGAGCCCGGTTGGTTGCAGACAGGTGACGCTGTCAAAAATCCATCCGCCCCTCTTTTGAAAATCAGTTAAGCGAGGCAGGTCTCTAACACAACTTCTGAGCAAACAGCTCGACTTCTGATATGTTTGGGAATGTCCAGATTGATGTTACCATATATTTCCCTAAATATTACTCACAATGTTGAACTTTATTCATGATCAGCCTTATTCATTCCATCATCGCCAATATGTGTTAAAAGACTTTGACTCTGACATAATGGTTTTGAGTAACACACATGCAAACTTGCACATAAACCAGACAAAGTCCATGCCTATAAGGGATTGCAGCAGTCACTGTTTTGTTTTCCTGCACTGTTTTGGGTAAGCAGTACAGTTTGCTTTTATGGAATTTGGAGAGTAAGCTACTCTGCTTAAACTTGGGACCCAATCTAATCCCCCCCCATGTGGAGTGTGCACAATTGTCAATGTGGAACCCTGTCTGTTAACTTAATGAGGATTAGAGCAGCCTAGCTGCATACAGAACTGAATCAGTGCTCATCTTTTCCAGTGTTTTGACTTGGTATCCTATGTTTATCTGACCAAAACACTGCACAGTTTTTCCTTTCACAGTCCACTTGACTTGCGTCCTGTTTACAAATAACACTTTAAGATAAGAGTTGACAATATAGTATATATATATATATACATACATACATACACTGTGTTTTGTTTTTCCTCTGTAGATGAAAAAGAGGAGGGGATTCTCGGCAGTATCCTCCTGCCAAGCTTTCGTATATCCATGTTGTCTGTGGACGATCACATTACCAGAAAATATGCCTTCAAGGTCAGTGCATGTTTTCATTCCTGTCAGACTTTGTTAGGCTGCATATTTTATGGTTTATTACACTTAAAGAAGAAAAGAAAGGAATTAGTTTTCTAGAGAAAATGGAAAAACTTGTAGATAAGGCCATAAAAATAAATGTGCAAGTCTCACAGAAGGTACATTTTAAAACTGGTGCTGCAGTGGCTCTTATCGTGATCTCACAATATATGTATGTGTATTTTTAGACATGTTGAGCAGTTTCTAGGTTTTATTTCCTATTTAACACGTTGGTTGTTACTTCAGAAGTTTTGGTTGATTGACAAAGCGAGATGTTTAGTCGCTAATGCTAACAACTAAAGTACCTCTCATATTTCTACACTGACTACTGACAGCAGTGAGGTAGGACTACAGTACTATGATGCTATAAGTTGACTCGCAGGATTCAAGTTTCAGGGCAACGGACTTATAATATGAGATCACAGTGGTGTGTAAAGGATTTGACTGTGGGTTCTTCATAAACCCAAAGAGACAACAAAGTTGTCCTGCCAAGCACAGCCAAACACAGACGCCCAGGAGTCTGCTCAAGGTCTCTCCAACCACACAGCCCACTCCTTTTCCAACTTAGATTCAGGCTGAAAAACCCCCCAAAACAAGACTTAGAAAAGAGAAAAGCATGAAAGCAGGACACAAGCTCTTCAGTTCAGTGATTCACTCAGAAATGGGATGACCTTTTGACTGTATATTTTTCATTCTCAACTTTTCCTGTCTCTTGTTGTGGCCAAAGGTCATATCAGTAAGTGTGTTATTTCTAAAAATTATTGTGAAGCAATTAGAAAAATTATAGTCTTGTCTTTTTTTAAACATTGGAAAACTGCACATTGAGGTTGTTCACGAAGCATTATGTCTCTTCCTGTGTTTGTTTTGACAATATATTGGTTTGTTCACCACGAGGGAACCAAGAGACAACCGACCATGTGTCTGCCATACAATGCACTGAATGGTAAGTATTGTGGCAGATTTACTTCCCTAATCTAGCATGACTTAAGGATTTGATTTATTATCATTAACTGCAGAGAATATCTCACAAGTCAGCACCGATTGCCATTAGTTGCTAAAAAAAAGTGTGTGTGTGTGTGTGTGTGTGTGTGTGTGTGTGTGTGTGTGTGTGTGTGTGTGTGTGTGTGTGT